GGGGGGGGGCAGGAATGGCAAACAAGTACTTAATGACATAATCTTACTCTGAAAGGCAAGTCTATCACAGTGTAAAAAACACACGTGTATAAATCACACACTTGGTTGTGATTCCCTAAAGCACAGGAGCGTCTTTAACGCCCTCTGCCTCGGCTTAGTTGCTCTGGAAGCAGAGCCTGAGCGGGACTGAGATGCACGTCAATGGCAGAGGGAGTGCTCTTCAGGAAAAACTAGTAAGGGAGAGAGTCAGGCAGGATTGAGAGAATGCAGAGGAAGATACAGACTCAGTAAAGTCCAGCCATAGCCTCACCTACAGGGATCCTCTGTAGAGTTTTCACCCCTTAGGATGGAAGGTGGGCCTTCTGTAGCCCCTTAACAGTCGGTTATTGAGGGCAGGGCCTAGTTTCCTGGCAAGGCAGCTCCCATCAACTGAGGGCAATTGTTTGGAGAAGAGGGTGTAACTATGAGCCTTGAGCAGTCAACAGTCATAGCAGCTGGGGAGTGGGGGGTGGTTAAGACAGTAAAACAACATCAACTATATCCCATGTTAATATACTCGCTATTAAAATTTTGACAGCAAACCAAGTAGCATTGTGTTGCAATACTTGAAAAGTAGGAGGTAGAAAGAGTTAGCTTTGCAATGCAGTTCTTTGTCTTTATATTTTCCATTTTCTCAGATTTTTTAAAGTTGGAACTCAGGTTGGAAATCGAAACAGAATCCATCAGCAGGTTAACACCTACTGAGCACCTATCCTGTGAGTCACATTGTGCTAAGAACGAAAAGAGATGCAAGATGAGGTCTGTCCTCAATGGGGAGGAATTTCAGGAAGAAGACAGGGTTTACATACGTATAAGAAAAAATGATCAGACACGAAAGCATTAAACCAGGTGTATCATACTGGGGGTTTTATAGGAAAGTCTTAAAATTAAGTTCTAAGTAAAAGGCTTACTCTATAAAACTTGAGTACTGGTGCTGAATATCTTTGTCATTTACTGAGTGGGGTTTGAAATATTTTCCGCCAACAAGTTTCAGGAAGTTGAAGCAGAGAATGGCAGATTATTCTAAATAACACAACGGCGGGGGCTGAAAGAAATACCAGCTATATTGTGCTGCTGTTGGGCGGGGATGGGAAAGCCGCAGAGCCATTTGCCTACACATTCATCTCCCTGGTGCAAGCGGGTATTGTTCTGTACCCCGTGGCAGGATTAGAAGTACCGCTGGGGCACAAGTACACAAAGTCGTTATGGAAACCAGAATGCTTGAGCTCAGAGTTATTTACAGAGAACTCGGAGGATTATCACGTTCAATAAAAGCAGCTCTGTGTTGCTTCACTCTGTGCCAGGGCATCCCAATTAAATGCCTATTTTGAAGGGTCCTTCCCTGAGCTGTACTGAGAGAATGCAGATTCCGGAGGCAGTGGATGGGGGTCACATCACAAAAGAGTAATTTGCACGTGGCGATTTGAATTCCGCGCCTGCCCTTGTTCACACTTGCCTCGCTGTTGTCAAGTTTGCTGTTTCCGTAGCACAGGAACCAGGCGGCTGCTGGCCGCGGCCCGTGGCCCAGCAGCGTCCCCTCGCAGGCAGCTGCCTGTCGCCGACGCTTACACTGCGGGACCCTCCACAGTAACAGCTGCCTCTGCCTGTCATTTTTGTCCTTAATTGCAAATTGGAATTTTTCCAGCCATCCAACAGGATATTTTTTAAAAGTTGTGGGGTTTTGTGTGTGAGTGTGTGTGTGTTTGGG